CAGACAAGTTGGCAAGGGACAAGGGTTTACAGTGTCAGTCGCCTCCACATTTGATCTGGGCCTGACTGAAAATGGAGCTTATGGCTTGCTTCTGCCCCTGTCCAGCACTCCTGCCTTCCCAATGTCCTCTAGTAAACAGCATGATACTCAGTAGACAATCTGCATTCACAGCATAGTTTCATTCAAGCTAAGGAGAGGCCTGTTCCCTCCCAATTCACAGTGAGACACCCAACTGAGCCCCCAGAAGAGATATAAGTTTCTGTTGTGTGGGGTGCAGACATTACCTCCCAGTGCAGTGCTGGTCCATCACCCTAGTGCAGCAGGCATGGAAGATGAAGATATCACAGTGGTTGGAAATACTGGCTATCAGAAATATCAGCTTAACAATACTGAATCAAAATTTTACCAGCTGGGAGAAAGTAGTTCTCGTGAGATTTGAAGCAAGGCACAACTGTATAAAGGCTGTCTCCATGTGGCTTTGGTCAGGGCTTTTTGCTAGGGTAGGGGTTCCCAATCTTGAGTCCCCAGACATTCTTGGACTGCAACTCCCAGAGGCTTTCACCACTAGCTTTGCTGGCAAGGGCTTCTGGGAGCTGGAGTTCAAGAATGTCTGAGGACCCATCATATAGGAGTGCTGGTCACTTAACCAGCAACCAGGAAGAAAATTATTAGATAAAACGGCTTCAGTGTTATTCTATGCCCACACTTCCTTCAATTTTTTTTCTCCTGAAGTGTATAGTTTTGGTTCTTGGTGGATACTTTTTGAGTCAAATACAGCAGTATAGGACATGCTCACTGTTTAGGTTATAAAGATGAGGAAGCAGAGACCCAGTGTGGGGGATGGACAGCAAGGAGGGGATTGGACAGAGTAGAGTAGAGGGGTGGTTATACTGCATATGTGAGTAACCATGGGAGTGATGTAGTCTGGCTTTGTTGTTGTTAATGTGTTGTCAAGTCATCTCCGACTTATGACAACCCCATGAATGAAAGATCTCCAAAATGGCTTGTTGAATCTTGTAAACTCAACCCTGTGTATTCTTTTAGGAATCAATTTATCTTATACTTAGCCTTCTCCTTTTCCTGCTGCCTTCAGCTTTTAACTAGCATTAGGTCTAGAGTATCAACAAAGATCTCCTCCAGCACCATATTTCAACCAAAGCATTTTTCCTGTCAGTTTTTTCACTGTCCAGGTTTTGCACACATTACATAGTAATTGGGAATACATGTATTACTCTTTGGTGTCAGAGTGACACATCCTTACACTTTTCTAATTCTTTCATCGCTGCCCTTTCAAATCTCAGTCTTCTGATTTCTTCGCTGCTGACTCCATTTGGATTGATGATTGAACCAAGATACACAAAAATGTTAACTATTTCAATTTCTTCATTGTCAGCATTAAAGGTGTGCAATTCTTCAGCAGTCAGGAATTTTTTTTGTCTTCTTCATGGTCAAATGCAGTCCTGCTTCAGCACTTTTTGCTTTCACTTTCACTAAAAGTCATTTCAAGTTATTGCTGCTTCCTGACAGTAAGGTGGTGTCACAGTGTATTGTGGTAATTTATTGGCATATTGAGCTGCTTACAGTGCTTGCTGTGAGGTCTGTGAAACCACCATACAAAGAAATATTGTTATTATTATTATTTATTATTTATTCAATTTATATGCCGCCCACACTACCCAGAGGTCTCTGGGCGGCTTACAATAATTAAAATTCAATACAGTAAAAGATAAAATAATTAAAATACAATTAAAATACAATTAAAATTGCCATCAGACCCACAGCTAATATTATTTCAATT